TATATATACATGTATGTTATTTATCATTCTTCGTCTCGCAGGGGTGGCTGTTTCTTTTGCGATCTTTTTGATGATGAGCTTTTCCTTATATGGCACAGCTGGATGTTTTGCGAAGGCGCCTTCTATGTTCCAACCATTCGCAGTTTGCGGATCCAAGCGATTTTCCTGGCCGAGCACGCCAGCAAATCAACCTCCACCTTCTCCCAAGTCCTTTGCAGTAGAAACAATCTGAAGAAGGATGCTGTGGGGTGACGCGGAACGGGGATGAAACAGGAAGCGGCAGTATGGAAAACACGCGATTGTGAATATAAACATCCACAAGCATTTATATGAACATTGAAAGTTAAGCAAATGGCTGAATGCCCGTACGAAGTGCGAGCATAGAACCGGAGGATAGAGCGCAGGACGAATTATATAACAAACAGAACCTATTAGAATAAAAACTATGTTGCACGCCTTAAGGGATACGAGCAAGGCTATCGGTTTTTCTAATGGTAACTCTCGGCGACAATGAGATAGCACTACGACTATACCGAGACTCTACTAATTTCTGTTACGTTTATATCATTTTTACGGAAGAACTTAGATTCCACAACTGCTGGCGTTGACAATACGAAATTTAAAAGCTTAATGCTCTCCATACGTTGCTTCACTGCAGAAAAATGCCCAGCTTACTACTGGAACTGGATGTCCCGTCGGCGACAAGTTGAACATCCAGACCGCTGGAAAACGGGGACCCGCTTTGCTCCAAGATGTTGTCTTCATTGATGAGATGGCTCACTTCGACAGGTGAGAGGATCAAACGAATTTATTATTCAGTAATAAATTTAGTGTTCCACAATTTTTCTGTGACGACCGGCATAGATTTAATTATTCAGTACTCCATATCTTCAAGAACATGCTCGTCCCTTCGGTATAGGAAGGCTATAAGTCATGAACGTTGTGGTCGCGCAACACAAAATAATGTAGTTCCCATTGAAAATATTATCAGCTAGTAATGGTCTCATATTTGTGTGAAAGTATCGTAAAACGGTAGGACCATATTATTAGTCAAACTAATCATTCAGGGCATCTCGTTGCAATAAAGCTAAACGTATCGACACTCGTTTTCAGATAAGATCCATCACGTTGAGTGTGTCCGAGATGTGAAGATCTAGGTTGTCTTATGACAAAGCATAACACGGTTTCTGAACCAAGTCGAAGTTTACCTTACATGACATATTGGCGAAGCCTAGTATATATAGACGGCGTTTGAGGACTAGGTAAAGCGCCGATATTGTGATTGCCTTTTGATTGTTTACGCTAATAAAATCGTCCGCTTTATCTTTTCAGCATTTTATAGGGCTCTATACACTATGAAAGCAGTGACTGACCTAGATTTTCGAGGGTAAACGCGAAAAATAGCAACCCACTTTTCCACAGGACACTGCGCGTAACAATAATTGATAGTTCAAATCGCAAAACATAGAGAGAAAGAAAAAAATGTCTTTTGATTTACTTTGAAAAAATCGCGGTTGTAGAAACGGCCCTTAACGACACTCTTAAGTTGCTTGAGCGCCTTATTGCTTGGGAGACTCTGAAATGCCATTTATACATACTCTCTATCGACTGGTCTAATCCGTTCTGACGGTATATACTGCACGACAAGTATGATTGAACAAAGAAAAAAATGTTGGCAAAAATCAAGGAATAAATCATAACATAACAAAAATACTGACTTTAAGTAAATCTATACATACAGTCTGTATTCTAATGAATAATCTAAGTCCTTTGGTATAAAGAATTGACAGTTATTCATTTAATGAGCGTACGAACCATTTGCTAAAATGTTCGGATTGTAAGATTTTTGCAGCCTGTACACACACTGTAGCTTTAATACGAATGTCAATGTCCACTTGCTCTTTTTTCTGCTACTATATAGGGAGAGGATCCCCGAACGTGTGGTGCACGCCAAGGGAGCTGGTGCCTTCGGCTATTTCGAGGTAACTGACGATATTACGAAGTATTCGAAGGCTGCCGTCTTCGCTTCGATCGGCAAACGAACCCCCATCGCTGTTCGTTTTTCCACCGTCGGTGGCGAGTCAGGTTCGGCTGATACTGTCCGTGACCCGCGTGGTTTCGCTGTGAAGTTCTACACTGAGGAGGGTAATTGGGATATTGTGGGCAATAACACACCGATTTTTTTTATTCGTGACCCGTTCTTGTTCCCCAGTTTCATTCACACGCAGAAGCGGAACCCTCGCACTCATTGCAAAGATCCTGACATGTTCTGGGACTTTCTTTCATTGCGCCCCGAAAGCACCCACCAAGTTCTCATCCTCTTCTCCGACCGAGGAATTCCTAATGGATACCGCCACATGAATGGGTACGGCAGCCACACATTCAAGCTGGTCAATGCTGATAATGACATCAACTACTGCAAGTTCCACTACAAGGTAAGGTGCTGTTAGAAATTTCATTAATAGCATATTAATTCCTTGCAATCGAATTGACGTACGCGTCGTAGAAGACAGCCGTCTCTGTCGTTAACTTCCTGAGGCTTGATGCATCGATCTATTCTGGCCTAACTGACGTGTACTTTCTCCTGCCTTATAGACTGATCAGGGTATCAGTAACTTGACAGTCGAGCGTGCCAACGAGTTGGCTGCCTCAGATCCGGATTACTCTATCCGCGACCTGTACAACGCCATCGAGAACGGCAAGCACCCGTCGTGGACTCTGTACATTCAGATTATGACTTCTCAACAAGCAGAGAAGTTCCCCTTTAATCCATTCGACGTCACCAAGGTAAATAACAGTAATGTTTATACACTTTTAGCATCACGGCTGATGAGACAATCTGATATGTATCTGCAAACATAATATCGATGATTACTCATCGATGATAATATTCGTGTTTTCAATCAAGATTATGGCCTGTATTATATATCGAAGTGTGTAGTGGGAAACAGAGCTAATCGAATCACTTGAAACAATATCACGGTAAATACACGATTTCTAAGTTTTTTTTTTCTCACTAACTAGGTGTGGCCTCATGCAGACTACCCGTTAATTCCCGTCGGAAAACTTGTATTGAATCGTAATCCTACCAACTATTTCGCCGAAGTCGAGCAGATGGCTTTTTCGCCTGCTAACCTCGTGCCCGGAATCGAGCCATCACCAGACAAGATGTTGCAGGGTCGTCTGTTCTCTTACAACGACACCCACCGCCATCGTCTTGGGCCCAACTACTTGCAAATCCCTGTCAACTGCCCCTATGCTACACGAGTACGTAACGCACAGCGCGACGGTGCTATGTGTATCAATGGCAACCAGGGCGCTGCGACTAACTACTACCCGGACTCGTTTGGCGGGCCCGTCACCAACCTTAAATACAAGGAGAATTTCGGCGAAAAGTGGGCCACCGCCGACGTCAATCGTTGGAACTCCGAGGATGAGGACAACTTTACTCAGCCTGGTCTCTTCTACAAAATGCTGTCGCAGCCTGAGAGGGAGCGGCTCGCTTCGAATATCGCCAACCATCTTAAGGATGCCCAAGATTTCATTCAGCAGCGCGCTATTAAGAACTTCACCTCCGCTCACCCCGCCCTTGGAGCTGCTATCCGATCCAAGATCCAGGCTCTCGTGAGTGCATAAGCTTCGTGAATACATAACACACACAATACACAGATATATTCTATTACTTTACGATACATGTTGTAACACCGTGTTGCGAAACATCTGTGCCTTGCTTTCTTCCGAAGATAATAATAATATATCAATGATTACATGTTTGATATAACGCATCTGATAAAAATTAGACTGAGCGTACCAGTCACCTAGGCGTCCGTAAAGGGATCGCTATAAAACTATTAATATTATCAAAAAGATTTCAATTAAGTTATTGTCATCAATACATCGTCGCCTATTATCGACTCGTGTTACTGGTACGTCCTACATACTAGACGATACTAATTAGGCTTATACAATATTCTACCGCTATTAGCTGCGCGTCAGTCATCAAAGTCGTTTCGTGACTAGCCAGCTCTAGCCTTCCGTGATCCATATATCTCTAACATAGGTTTCTTTTACTTTGTACTCGTCCTGCCTTATCTCTGTTGGTCTGCTTGCATAACCCTATTCTCCTTTTGTACAACTATGCCATCTGGAGGCGACTGAAAGCAATGAAATCTGATATGGGGACTCTTCCCCTACCAGCACGCCATTCCCAGATCATTCACACTTGCGTCCAACCTCTCCACCTTCCCGCTACCGACCCCCTACGCCACCGATCTCATTTTCACAAAGTTCTTCCTTGCACGCTAATACTTCGGTTCCCCTTTCTGACAAAGCTTCTATGCTAGATGAGGATTTCGAAGAAGAGGGTTCCTCAATGGATACCGATCAGTTGGTGCCGCAGCAAAAGGCTTTAGCAGATACGACGCAAGTCGGGGACAGCGCTGAAGACCCAACAGCAACTGAAAGCCGCGTAGGGCATTCGGGCGAGATGGACATGACGGATATGCTAATCGGTCTCCAACAAATGGAGGACCAGTTGCAGACGGCCGCTTCGTCTTCTGTCTCGCAAGTTGCCACTGCGTCCCAATATGCTGCTGGTATGCTTGGCCCTAATTTGCAGGGGCAAGCAACTGTCGTAGCTGACGGCAAACCTAGCGTCGCTTTGGAAAATAATCAGTCTATGTGTGCTCCCAACGTGGTCTCATCCATTTGTTCGCCCACATTTTGGCCCTTTCGATAACGCACAATATAACCTGCGATGAAAATAACGAAGGTGGAGGCCAACAAGGCTCATATCACGATCATGCGATTTAATCCTACTATATTGTTGATTAAAATTATCAGCGGCGTAAACAACAAGATAGAAAAATGCGCTCGCACGCACATTAGCAAAGAATCTGCCTGGTATAATAGGTTTAGTGGGTAATTTCTCTCTGTGTGTCTATGTCGGTTAGCGAGCGTACGTCTGTCGCAATTTAGAATTGGCGTTGGAGCGCACACTGCTGCATATAAGCCTTTATATAACCCGCTGTGTGAATGTCGACCGATCAGATTATGTTTACAAAATCAAGGATACTTTTACTAGCATGATTCTATAAGTATATCCTTGTCCGAGCTCTCACAAGGGCATCCTTCTCGAAGGCCGTCAAAAATCTGCTCTCTTCTTCTGTCACTCTATTGCTCCTTAAATTTGCCCCTGTATATTTTTCACCCCCCTTTTTGTTTGCCCCTGTCCTTGAGCCTTATATGGGTATGTCTGGTGGCCGCTATGTTTTCGATTTGTTGGCCCATTTATGCTCTCTTCTATACCTCTACCCAGTCGTTACAACCTTCTTCCGTGTTACGTCTTCGACCCAAACTCCATTCGTCACAGCAATTTCATCAACGGTGCTTTTCGCTCCAGGTAGGTACCTCCAAATGACTCGCGAGAAAATTTGCAGTGTAAATCTTTCCCTTCTTCGCTTTTTATTTGGATATATCCAATGATAAATGATTTTGTTGTTAAAGAGCGCAATATGATGCTTGTTGATCTTAACCGAACATTTTTCCATGTGCCTGAACCCTAACCCTACGTGTATCATCGAGTGCACACAAACTGTTCGTCGCTACAATTTGCCCAAATTCCCTTGTTGTCCCTGTGGTTCCTGCTTTGTAACTTCCCGTAATGCGAGCGATTATCTTGATGCGTTCGTGAGTTCCCCGAGTCCCGACCCAGAACAGTACAGCATAGCCAGTATAACGCTAGAAGGCCAGGAATCCTTTCTGATGTCATCCTTTAGCAAAAGGGGTAGCCGTGTAACCTCCGAGGTCCGAATACTTTAATTCCTCCCTATTACTATAGCTAATTCTGCGACGTGTGGCGCAGGTGGAAATTTTTAATGTCGCTCTTGTTGCTGTTGTTTCGCGCACGTTATAAAACGATGCGACGTGCAAGCGTACTATCCGTGCTTGCGATAAGCTGCGTGCGAAAAAACGAAAGATTCTCATATTAACAGACTCGTACGTGGCCTAAACCTGTGGCCCCCGTAGTTTGTCTGTAACTTTTTTTTTATTAGGCTGTACCTAACTGTGTCCTGGCTTCGAAATACTGTTGAACTAATATAGCGGTGATACTTACTTCGGTGTTGGGATGTTTGCGCTGTAGACGGGCTTGAATAAAGCAGTAGCAAGAATGACTTTTTCTATCTTTGGTTAATTTGTTTGTTGTTGCCGTGTTCGGCTGGTGCTCGTATCGTGAGGCAAATGATGGCAGATTGTTTATGCTTAGCTAGATCTCGCTTCTGTGACCCAATACGTGCGCAGAATTGTTATAGCCTTTGTTCGTGGTACCCAGATCTGCAATGATTGTAAAAGAATTACACATACCAATAGTAGTGGCGGTTTTATGAGCACATCACCGTTGCGACAACAATGACTTTTCAATTTGTATGATCTCTTCTAGTTATCGATGATTTGCTTTAGTGTTTTATTTTTTTATTGTATATTAATATTTATTCGGCTATGCTGTTCGCTGTGATTGAGCTAAAACAATAGACGTGGTCCGTTCGCTTAGCTAGCAATTTAGCCCATGCAATCTATCCTACCTCATACTTGTACCTGGATAGACTTGGCACTCTAACGCCTATGTTTCACTTCTCCATTTCAGGAAAAAGCTAAGCTCTGATAGTAGCTATACGCTGGACACTGATTGCAAAAAAGAGCGTAGATAGAAGGCCGGAAAAGCAGGAATAAGGGTCGACCGATGTGTGCGACATGCTGATATGTCCCGTTATTAATATATCATGCGCATAATATCTAATACTAATAATAAAATGTGAATAGATGAAACAAACCAGTATTTTTACTCGTTGTATTGCTAAAGTGCCATAAACAGAGATTAAAATTTTTTGGTTTTACAGGATATGAACTTTATACCGATACAGAAATACAATCTTTCTGTGTGTTGTTCACAGCCCCAATTGCCCTGTTTTTATTTACTGATAGAGTTAAATAATTTTATCGCATGTCATTTGCGCATGAGAATCTATTTCAACACAAATAAATAATTTAAAGGGATAACACTAACCGCAAGGAATCTGTAAAAAGAGTTTTCAAAGAGTCTCATGGCGACAATAAATCAGAGACGGCAGCTAAAAAAACTATCATCCATCAAAGCTCGATGCAGAAAAAAGCACGACAACGAAAGAAGAAACACCGAAAAATTCGAAATTACGATCATGCATTTAATTATAATCGAAAAGTACGTCGAGCCATTTCGAAAAGTTTACTTCAATATGGCACTCATGAATTTGCGCTATTTTTTACTGCATCCGCCTCAAGAGGACAAACCAAAGCTACAATAATGCAACTCTGTAATAACACAAAGGTTTAATAAATAACACTGGAAAGAATAGTGACCATTTATCATAGTGAGAAACACATGTTTTTACTGCCGGCATGCGAAGATTTGCCACGCAGTAAAAAATGCGGGAAATAAATAGGCATATTGAGTAAGGAATATTGAGTATTATATTGGAATGCGTAAATATAACTCTATTGGGCGTCCTCGATAGGGCGACATCGTTTAATTGGTTTTGATCGCTAAGAGTTACTTAATGTTCCGTTCATATAAATAACCGCAGTTGAATTGTTAGCAGAAAAAGAACGAGTTATTTTCGCGCATCTATTTCGTAGCAGTGAAATTTCGACTCAAGATACCATAAGACGCCGGTCGTACATAAATCAACAGTCTTGATTATAATGTTGGCAATCTAGTTTTATTTAAGTACACTACATGCGGGGCACCATGACACAACTATAAACCTCATGACTGCTAGGTAGGCTGATTTGCTATATAAAAATAACATAGAATTTTTGTGCTATAATTATACCAAGGTTTTTGCTTGGTACTGTCCCAAACTCAGCGGCTGAGAAGATTATAATAGGGACTAAGAAATAGTTAACTGAGTAAAGAACAACTACGTTTGTGATGATGGTCGTTGATTCGAGTATTCCGCCGAGATGTATGCTTGCACCGATCTTTAATTTTATGGGTATAATATTTGTGACGTTAATAAAAACAATGAATTCGTTTAAAAATACTTTTTCTAGTTGACTTTAGCTAAATATTTGGAAGTTAGAGTTTTGGCTTCCGAGCATTACGGTTATTCACACAACTTGTTGTGAAATGAAACAAGCCTCGCTTTGTCATGTTTTTGTATTGTAAAAATATGTGTTGTCCTCGCGCTTCAGTAAAAAAAATATCGGTATTTTCATGTCATCATCAAAAATTGTATTACTAGTAAGTAATTGCCATAATAATAAAAAATATGTTAATTTTCTCGAGTTACTTTTCTTCGTATTCATGTATGCCTCTAGGGTAGCTTTACACCTTAATTAATGTTCTAATAAATCATTCCTTAAAGTTGAGCTCCACTTTTACATGCTTTACTACTAGCTGAATTTTCACAGAAAACACTCACAAAAGACCGTTAAAATATTCCAGATAAACGTTCTCATAGGTTAGCATACTTAGCCCTGTATCCTTGTCGATATTATATCTATGTCGATATTGTACAATTTTTATACTTTAGTATTTACTAGCGCAGGTTAACACTATCATTGTCTATCAATTTAGTAACTATTGCTAAGTATATAACTATATAGTTAACGCTAAGCATATAGCTGTACTAAAAGGTTTACAAACGCACATTGAAACTATAATTAATCCTGCCCTAAATAGATAGTGGAAAATGATGCCTCGCAGGTACTATAATCCTACGAGCTACAAAACCCACGATCCCACCACTGTTTTCCGCAAACAGGACTAAACGCATCACATTGATACTACCCAATTCGTAATTTTATTGGGTACAACAATCTTCATTGAACTTAATTTACATTATGATCTCGAAATTAGTTAATAGGTAATTTAGTAAAGAGCCTTTCCGTATCCGAGGCCGTAAGCGGGAGCGGCAATAGCAGATCCGTAGCCAAGACCGTAGGCGGCAGGGGCAGCAATGGCAGCTCCATAGGCTGGGGCAGCCAGAACGGGAGCAGCGGCGACCTTTGCGATGGGGGCGGCATAGGCAACGGGGGCAGCGGCGACCTTAGCGATGGGGGCGGCATAGGCAACGGGGGCAGCGACGTGTTTGGTCACGGTGGCGTAAGACGACGCAACGACAGGGGCGGCAGCCACCTTAGCAATAGGGGCGGCAAGAGCAGCTCCGTAGCCATAGGCGGCAGGAGCATAGGCGGGAGCAGCGATAGCTCCTCCGTAAACGGGGGCAGCGATGGCAGCCCCGTAGGCGGGAGCAGCAAGACCGTACCCAAGACTGCCAGCGTGGGCTCCAGCCACAGCGAGGGCAACGACGGCGAGCCTCTACAAAACGTTAGAGAATGAGAAAAGTGTCTATGATTTAACTATCTAAACCGTTATTCTTACACTTATGTTGCGGTACACCACGTTATAATCATATCTAAAAATAAATCAATGGTGCACTGGAAAAGCATATTTCTATATCTAATAACGCATTCTACTTTAGAAGACTGTCAACTGTTAGCCACTTTTAGAGAATTGACCACCTGGTACATATATCTAAGAGAACACTAGGCTCATCGAGTCTAGAGCAGTACGTACAGCGAACATGTTAAATGATTGAGTTGATGTTCAATGGAACTATGACACAATGGGGATATTGCTGGACTTATATACGCTGACTCGACCGGCCGACCAGAGGCGATCGGGCGATTGCTTTCGTGTTGCTTGCCCTCTCTTTTCGGCCGCTACGGATGCTGGGGTGGGCGTACACACCATGGACGATCTACAATATTCGCGTAACACAGAAATTCGTCTAGAATCGGTTCGGGTGTAACCCGCAAACTTCGGACACTGAAAACTTCAGGCTCCCGTTCACACAGTCCCGATGTATTAGTGTTCTATGACCGTATCTATTATTTACTGATGTTCAGTATTGACGTTTTTCCTTAGACGATAAAAGCGCACTAATAGATAAACTGAAGACATCACCTAATGTATCTATACATTAGCCCGAAAGGAACTTTACATTACTACGAACCTTTTTGGACACTGCGCAATACAAACTCAAAGGTTCGAGAGTAAATGCTTGAAATATGATGGAACCGCTTCGGCCTGCGCATGGGTATATGTGACTAAGTCGGCTAGTGACCTCATTTGTGGAGTTTGATTTTATCCAATTGCCATTTGATGTTGACAGATTTTTGCGCGTGCTTCTTCGTACGTAACGTGCTCGTGTAACTATTTCGTTTCCGGCTACAATAGTATATGTGATTTGTTAATTGAATGGCATGGCAAATTGAAGTCCAAGATAGGTCACTGTGTCTATGGCTATTACTAGTCATCAGAGACTGTGCAGAAAGCAATGATAATGCATTGAATTTATGATTAACTCCGCATTGTTAGGAATTGGGCGTACTTCACTGCACAACGTTTTAGGTAGATGGCGCAATGTCCTATACTTAGTACCGTGTCTCAAGCGCTCTTTCAACCTCAAACACAATATGCTGCTCGAAATAAAATTTGGGTAGATTCTGAGCAGTAGCTCAGGCATATGGGTCCGAGGTATAGTAGGTGAAAGTTCAACAGTGTTAGAGAAATCACTCGGCAGTGAAATCTACGTTAGCTCAGAACGTTCGTAAAGAATAGCTACCACAGAAAAAGACAGAGAGCAGGCACTACTTTCAAAACGTAGTTAACGGATTCAATCGCACAGTCTAAGCGTTGCATTTGAACGTGTTCGGTAAATATTTAGAAATGTTCAAGCTTTGCCTTTGTACCAAAATTTAGCGAATGAAGGTATGCTGAAAAGTGGAGCGTCACTCATCCCGATCTGTCGGAGCCTACTATAGACGGCCGTCTCTGTTTTTGTAAACACAGAAGGCTGGCCTTTGGTGAGAGATAAGAAACAACGGTAGTTTGAGCTAATCAGAGAAACGGATTCGCCTACAGTATACGACCAATATGGTGCATTTTTGTGGTAGTATATATGGCGTCAGAACGCATATATAGAAACCAGGTATTTAGACGTGTACGATATCTAAAGAAGGGCAAATGGTTCATGCTGCAATGAGAACTTCTTTTCGAAAATCGCTAATGGTGTCCGTTAGAAAACTTGTCAGAAATTTGTCTAATGAATAGATTAGTTTTACATAAGCTCACACGAAAAACGTCGCGAACGCCGTTTCCGCAACCTTCAAACCTCGTCCGAAGGACTGAGCACAGTCTGATAGCCTTTCATGAACAGAAACGTACAGCACACAACGGATAGAACGGGTTGAGCCGCGTTTTATTTAGCATAATCTGGCTATCAGTGTATGGCAGCTAGAACTAGTCCACCTTATGATGCTTGGCTTGAGCCTATACTCATGTTGAATAAATCGAATCCATGAAGTGAATCGTAGGTTGATGTCATACTGTTTTTGAAGACCCGTTCCCCCTAATATACTAAACACTGAGATAGTTTTTACAAAAAAATTGAGTCAAAATAAAGGAAATTGTTCACCACTACCTTATACACTGTAGAGAAGGCTTTTAGGTAACCGAAAAGACGTATAAACATTAGGGACTGTCAGCAACAGACGAGCGAATTTCTGCCGTTTACTCGTATAGTAATTTAAACAACTGATCCTCGCATCATTACGCGCAGCCAGTTTTTTCCTGATAAGACCGATTATAGAAACAAAGCAATGCAAAAAAGTGCATTCGTACGTCTTTTTTTTTATTGTAAAGAAAATATAGACGTAGACGGGGGCTTTCTCAAACGAAATCAACGATAAACACAATCTTATCTAATTATCGATTTCGACTAACTGGAAAAAAGAGAAAGCAGACTACTGGTGGAGCAATTTGTATACCTCTGTACCACCTAAAACGCAGCCTTTTCACTATCTACAAGCAAGAAAACAAGAATTTTGAAAAAGTGAAAAGGCCTATTTACATTTTCATACCGAAACTCTCGTTCGTCTTGAGATAGCCTTTCCGTATCCGGACCACAGATCGGGGCGGCAACAGTAGCTCTATAACCAAGACCATAGGCGGGGGCAATAGAAACAGAGGCGGCAGCGACCTCAGCGATGGGGGCGGCGATGTGCTTGGTCATGGTGTGGTAAGACGAAGCAACAACGGAGGCAGCGACGGCAGCACCGTGTGCGGAAGCTGTAAATCCTTCTCCGTAGAGGGAGTAGCGATAGCAGCACCGTAAATATGGACAGCAAGACCGTATCAAAGATTATCAGCGCAGGCCTCAGCTACAGTAAGGCCACCGATGGCGAGTTTTTGCAGACGAAAATAAGCAAGAAGACGTATTTTGCTCAAGCCTTATTTGTTACATACTTTGCATTTCAACAAAGCTGAGTTACCCCACACCGTTCACTCTGTGGGGTAGCTCAGCTTTGTCGACACAAAGCATCTATATCTAGATTTTCCTTAGATACCCAGATACGGTAAGCGTCTTTAAATAACTACGCTCCTGAGACACGTACAGCAAACATGTTTATATTCGACTAAACCGTGATCATATGAAGGATCACTGTAGTCAAAGCTGATAGAGACATAGTATGAGCCATACTTTCCTAGAGAAAATAGCTGAGATGGGACACACTGGGGGGTGGTGTTTAGTAATTTGCAAAATGCATGCTACAGAATATCGGCATACGTTTAAATATAATGGGCGTTGGATAAACCTTGAATGCTTTTTGCATCTTATTAATCTGTTTCGTTTAGGCGATACATCAAAAAACGAAGATATATGTAATTGTTTAATGATCGGTGCGTACTAATGACCAGCAATAAAGGAAACAGCTGGCCAAATACTGCAGTTTTCAATGTACGCAGGGTAGCTTTAGTGTCATGTAAGCGTTTCCGGAAAAATGTTGATAAAACGTTTGCGCCTGGTGTCGAAATTGGGGATAGAAACTGTCGATTACTTGGAATTATATAACGACATCTCAGCATAGGTGTATACAGACCTAGTGATTGCTATTGGTTTAGTTTGTGCCTATGATATTAGCTATTGTCACCACGTTCTGGTCGTCGGAGAAGTATTGACTGCTACTTGGAATACGAAGATCGGCAACAGCCCTCGTCCTTAAAGACAGCAAGCTTGACGTCCAATCCGTTAGGCATTAATGCACCTATATTAATTCCCCTGTGGATATTTTCAAAAGTCGTAATTTGTTAAACTTTGGCGGACGGTCCACCTCAAATCGAGTTACTTCGTATAATAAGCGATTTGGGTACCGATGCATATCTTCCTTGTATCTCAAATGTTTTTTGGTATCTCCTTGTATCTCAAAGGTGTTTTTCGATTAGAAAAACTCCACGAAATGAAAAAAAAAGTAACGTTCGTTCACTAAAATGTAAAATGGATTAAAAAATCGCTACCGTACCTGTTTCGCTATAGGCTAATTATACTACTAGTACATCGCGACAGCTGTATAATCGGCGGAAGACAACTTCGTAATCAAAAGGCCATTCCTCAACATCGACCCCGCTTTCAACTTGGTACCTTTTTTTTTTTTGTATTTTGTAAACTTTGTATTTTTTTTTGATAAACTCTAGCTCGCCTGAAATTCATTGAACGATTTGTAGATTTATTAACTCGGATTCTACCAAAAGGAGCCAGACTACTAGCAATGACGACTCTTCTCACATTCATTAAAAAAAAACACGTTTTGAATTTCACGATCAGTCCTTAAACCGGTAAGGTGTTGTTTCGGACCCTTTAATACGAAAACAGATGAAGCTATAGCTGGATTCGAACGTAGACCACCTCACGTGTCGCTAAGATCAGCTACGGCATTCTCACATATACGTCCCTCGTACGCATTGCTACTCCGATGTACTATAGTAATCCTCAACTCAATACTTTGTTGATGATGATGATGATATTACACGAATAGGCCAGAACACGGGTAACACCAATCATGAGCTTACGGAAATAAGCATACAGAACGTACAGCCCTTTCGTCAATATTTCAAAGTCCAAAATTGGCATATTCTCTTCAAAAGTCAGAGACGAATTCGGTCAAAGGTAGACTAAAAAGGTATGGCTGAACGACGCAATTTTAGAGCCTTATCGAATTCAAGTTCTGGAACTCTTTGACAAAAACACATATCCGGAAGTTTTCCAAGTTGTTTAGCATCTACAGCAGCAGCAGCATCATTATTAGTTTGATTGAAAAATAAAAAATTCTCTCGTCAATTATTGAGCGCAGCCTGGAACCCTCCTTTGCTCTGCTTTACACAAGACCCAAAAACATTGGCTCTGCTCACTGTTACCTTTAATGCAAATCTGATGATTCTACTATAAATGATGATCGTGTAAAGTTTCCATATAATATTTTATTAATGGTACATACATAGAGGAATAAAAATGACATAGAGTCAGCAAGTGTTCAGTGGCCGGCTGCAGTGTACTAAATACATTTCGGTCTTCATTTGTTCGTTCGCATCGGCCTCTCTTTCAATACATAGTACTATACTAACTACCCTAAATGGATTCATCCGCAGGAGAGCTCACAATGATGATGTAAAGGAAACGATCTTGCAAGCAACGCCATGAAATGCTTTACAGACAAGCTCAACATTTGTAGAGAAGATACAAAGGCGCAAGTACAGCCTTGAGACTTCCTCTCGGTATCAGCCTTTTCGTTGAAACAATGCAAAAATTAGGTAAGTTACAATT